ATTTAACCCATTAATCTAAGTGAGGTTCGTGATATAAGGTTTACTTATTTTATTTTATTTTATTTTATACAATGTATAGTTAAAATAAAAATTTGTAACATCATGTAATTAGTTATAAGATTTTACAACTTATTGTTAGTCTCATGTTAAGAGAAGATGCAATAAATAAATGTATGTTTTAAAAAAAAAAAATTGAAAATTTCCCTATAAGTGTGGAAAGCATACTTAATGCTGCAAAATTAAAAATCCTCCAAAAATTTTTAAATTTTGTAATTATATTGATATTTACCCTGTTATCAAAAATAGTACTATATTTAAGTTATCCGTTAACGAAGCATTAAGCTGCCCAAATGTTACATTACCAATTGAGAATTGTATTTAAACGGCAACAGTCTTTATATGTCAACCAACATTAGATGCTTGCCTTTCGCAACTATCTAACAACAATACAGCTAAATGTCTAACCGAATCATCCCATCATTTAACTCAAATTCAACAATTATCAGATGGCGCAGTTATTATAAACGACGTATTTCCTACCAAAATTGTTGATTAACAAGAAATTGAACTCACCCGTGGCACATACCTGATTACATTTATGCAAACTATTTCGATGAACATCACGGAATTTTCCATAAGCAAAAAAAATTTTCTCATGGAAGCACACCTACCCAAAACGATGAAGGTAAATTATGAGGCATACGATGTAAATTATCATTGCCATATCTTCACAAAATCCATATCGACAATACAAAACATATTAACACATTGCAAGAAGAAATAATTAAACAAAAGATGTTTTGGTTCATTTTAATACCAATAATAGCAACCCTGATTCTTTTCATTGCATAATCTTTATAAAAAGAAATTTACAACCAAAAATAAATGTAAATGAAATAGTCCAACAATTAAAAAACAGAAGCGAGGACGCTTCAACTTAAAAGGGGGAGAGTTAACCAGTGTTGACCATGCGTCAGCATTAATATGTAACAACGATGTCAGCGACCCACTCCATGTGCACAATTAATATTGTCGCTTTAATGCAGCAACGATTTACGCAATATCAAATTTCATTGCAGTGCAAAGAACTTAAAGCAAGCACGTGTTGACATTGTTATTGTATTTAATCAATAACTAGAAATTAGTTTATAGAATAAACAAAATAATTTATAAGGGCAGCTGACATTGCTTGTAACGGCCAAAATTTTGTCAACCAAAAATTTGATCGTTACAACATCGTGGGTTCCGCAGCCCAACAACAAAGCTCCAATATCCAGAATACCTTGAGCTGATATAGCACTATATTTTGCCAGTACATCTTCATGTTTGTTGCTTATAACTTCTGCTTATAATTGCATAAAGTAAGTTACTTTTGGTAAAGTTTGGTCAGTATACTTCATTACTATCATTGCCGATGCAATGGATGCACCTTGACAAACAGAATAAAATTTGTTAAGTACGGATAACCACATTAACTTAACCAACTCACCGCAGCCTCCCGCGATACACGGCACACCAAAAACACAACGGGCCACCCCGCAACAACAGAACTCCAACACTGGAAGTGATAGTCATATTTTACCACACACTATTTTTTATTTAGATTGATAAATATATTATTTATTATAATTATAATTATTTAATTAAATTGTAATTTATTTTAAAAAGAAACCACATTGTAAAAAAATAGAACAAAATCAAAACAAAACAACACGAGCTGTCAAACGAAGAAAGCTTTTGTGGAAAAGGTGTAGAACTAGGGCGAAGCTTAAAGAAAGAACAAGTTCCAGCTTCCACATGAGAGGGAAAAGTAGAATTCGCCCTAAAGCTAGATTTTCGCTGGTGCATTGCAGAGGGATCAGTTCACGAGCTTCGATCAACGGTCGTTGAACTTTAACGTACCTACAGCTGGCACCGTTGATCGTTGACGGTATAAAAGTTGCGTACACTTGGAAGAAGCTCTCTTGTCTGGTTATGTGCGGTCGTGAAAAGGAAAACTCCTGGCGTTAGCAGCAGCGGAATTTATTTAACTAAGACGGCGGTGATATTATCAAAAACAATTAAATAGTCTCAGAAATAGTGTAAAATCGTATCTATAAACAAAAGAATTATTTAAAAATTAAAAATTAAATTATTTGAACCAGTAGAGTTGTAACAATCGAAATTGAATTTTTAAAACTCTTGTTGATAAATTGTGAGTACGCATAAATTAAAATTTTGCACGAAAAGATTGTTTTAAGAAAGACAAACTGATTAAACTAGTAAATGTGTTAATATATAAAATTTAAAACTCTTATTGATAAATTGCGAGTACGTATAAATTGTAATTTTATATGTAAAAATTATTTTCAAGTAAGATAAACGGATTACATTAGTAAATGTGTTATTACATGAATTTAAAAAAATTTAAAACTCTTTTTGATAAATTGTAAAGACTTAAAATAGAGTAAAGAGTACTTAATTTAAAAAAAAATAAAATAAAACTAAATTTGTATTTAGCTATTTATTTGATAATAAAATGAATATTAATAAATTTAATGAATAAAATAAAAAACTAAACGAGCGAATAAATTGAAAAAAAAGTGTTTTATTAAAATAAAAGCAAAACAGGTATAATAGCGAGGGCTCATAGGTATAACTACCGCTTTGATAGAGTTCAACACAAACTAGCTTCTCCTGATCGGTGTAAAATCAAGGTGGGAATCCAGCACAACGACACAAGTGAGAGACACAGGTAAGAAAGATTCAGGGCTTCAACAGTAACTGAATCTCGGTTGTACGGGGTATAACTCAAGTAGCTTTAATAGTCACGTGAGTCTATACCATAGTGTCGGAAACGATAGGTAGCTTTAATAGTCACCTAACGTCTCCGGCCCCTGGGCGCTTTAACAGTGAACAGGGAAGGGCGTGTGATCAGTGACCTGTAATACCACTCACGTAGCTTTAACAGTCACGCGTGCTGGTATTATATCGTGTCTATTTCAGTCAAGTGATTCCTTTGTGTCTGTGATTCCGATTGGTATTCGAACCTAGGTATCTGTAATTAAGAGCAATCAGAAGTGACGGGGTCCCCGCGAATAGAAATTTTCTTGTAAGACCTTGGACTAGGCTGAGAACTACCCCGGCTAGGAAAAAGTAGGTTCATTACAAGTGGCGCCCGAGCAGGGACCCTGAGACCAGCACTTCACGACTCGAATAGCAACTGTTTCAATATCAATAACGAGGTGATATACACACAACTAACATGGGCAGGTCGTAAATATTTTTTTTTATATTTTACGAAAACATGACTTAAGAAACTCAGAGAATTCGGGCTGGATACTACGGAATAATGTAAGACTTGCGGCGGTAAATAACAAACTTCGTAACACAGGGAAAGCAACATGGAATATACACGCGACAGAGAATATAGTGAAACATCAGAGCGACATAGCATGATCAGCGATACAACAGCAAGGCAGTTACATTCACATCCGCAATGTGATGTACACTCGTATCTTCCTCAAAGGAACACACAGGCAAGCGTCATTGACCAGGTCAGAAAATGGGCGATCCGGTATGATGACAACAGCGATCCATTGACGTTTATCGAGCGATTGGAAGAATTAGCGGATCTGTATGCCATATCAACGAACATGTTGCCTCGAACAATGCCCCTGTTACTAGATGGAGAAGGTTTGGTGTGGTTTAGATACAATAAGAAAGACTGAAATCACTGGGAAGCGTTCAAGAGAGATTTTCTGAAATTCTTTCTACCACATCAATATTTCGAGCGATTGGAGGACGAACTGAGAAATCGATTGCAGAAACCAGGAGAGACGTTTAAAATGTATCTTTTGGAACTACAAAAACTAATGCGACACGCAGGTTTAAATCAAGAGTCACAATTAGAACGAGTATATCGCAACATGAGCACTGAGTACCAAATATACATCAAACGTCGGAATTTCACTTGTCTAAAGGAATTAATAGCACTAGCTGAGGACTTCGAAGAACTACGCGAAGAGCAGAATGAAGTAAGTCGAGCACGAGATAGTGAGGTAATCTTCGGGCGCGTAGCAGTGGAATGTGCACGACCGCTGATAATACAGAAGACCATGAGACGCATAGCCAATACACCGAAATGTGATAAAATCATTCATAGTCCAGTCTCCAAGTCACCTTTCCGCAGCCAGCAGCAACACCAGCCAATCGCCAAGCAAACACCTGCAGAAACGTCTAGAATTTTTACTTCAACTACTGCAGCAAGCATATCAACACAAAGCGTGCGACATCGAAATGACGCGGAACAACATCATGTATCACCGCAAGATCGCAAACTAATCCCAGAAAATCCAAAAATAATTAAGCAACAGCGAGTTCCACAAGAGCAAGAACCATTACAAGTCCAATTGAAACAAATGCAACAAGAGCAAGATCCGAGTTCAATCAGGCTGCAAATACCAGAAGTACAACAAGAACAAAGTCCTAAAGTCAAAGAAATGTCAGCAGAGTATTGTCAACCACGAGTCATACAAAAACAGGAAATATTACAAGTTCAAATGAAGCAAGTAACGCAGCAACAAGATCCAAGACCTAATAGTGTACAAAAGGCGCAACGATACCGAGATCCAAGTCCCATCATGGTAGCACCTGATGTAAAACAACATCAAGCTACACAAGAACAAGCAGCACAGCACCAAGATCTAAAACATATCAAAAAACAAATACCAGAAATACCACGACAACCAAATCCTAAATTCAACGAAATGCCAGCAGAATTTGGTCAACAGCTAGATATACATGAGCACGTGGCACAACAGCAAGATTCAAGACCTAGTAGCATGGAAGAAGTACAACGACACCGAAGTGCAAGCCCTATCAATGTAACGCCAGGTCCAGATGGAAAACAGCTACTAGATACCCCAGAGCACGCAGTACAAGAAGTGTTTAACATCTCGCAAGAACAACCACCGTCAAAGACTTCGCTAATACCATGGAAGCAAAAGGATAAAATTATCAAAACGAATTCGACAAAAGGTCAAATATATGATGAAATACTTAGTCTTACCCAATCATTACCATTAACACAACTACCACAGCAAAAGGAAAAAACAATCCGCCTTCTAAAACAAGTAGGAGTATGTTACGAGTATCACGCATCGAAAAATCCACCTAGTATTCAAAGTCGACAGCAACAAGTGAAACATCGAAGTGTATTTCAACAAGACGATCACCACATCAAAGAGCAACACGACTTCTATAAAATATATAAGAGTCCAAAACAACGTCACAGAAATCACGCTGGCAGGTAATGGTTCAGGGCAAATCACGTTTCCCGAAAGAAAGGAGGGAGTGTAACGGCCAAAATTTTGTCAACCAAAAATTTGATCGTTACAACGTCGTGGGATAGCTGTCTACTAAACACAACACGATCACCTAACACACAACAAGAAACACTCACTTGAACTCATATAATCGACGGTTCCTGCATTGAAAAATAAAATTTGTTAAGTACGGATAAGCACATTAACTTAACCAACTCACCGCGATCCTCTGCCATCAGCGACGTCATTTTTGCATTTGACAAATTCTGAACTTGCATGAAAGTTATTTGTTAATGCATAACAAATATATTTGAATAAAACAATAATGCACACACCTTGAGCTATCGTTGAGAGTTTATGTTGCTAATATTTTTTATTGAAAATGAAATACTTTCAAATAATTTTCACGGAAACATTTTCACCGGCACGCCACGTTGTAAGAAAAATAGAACAAAATCAAAACAAAACAACACGAGCTGTCAAACGAAGAAAGCTTTTGTGGAAAAGGTGTAGAACTAGGGCGAAGCTTAAAGAAAGAACAAGTTCCAGCTTCCACATGAGAGGGAAAAGTAGAATTCGCCCTAAAGCTAGATTTTCGCTGGTGCATTGCAGAGGGATCAGTTCACGAGCTTCGATCAACGGTCGTTGAACTTTAACGTACCAACAGCTGGCACCGTTGATCGTTGACGGTATAAAAGTTGCGTACACTTGGAAGAAGCTCTCTTGTATGGTTATGTGCGGTCGTGAAAAGGAAAACTCCTGGCGTTAGCAGCAGCGGAATTTATTTAACTAAGACGGCGGTGATATTATCAAAAACAATTAAATAGTCTCAGAAATAGTGTAAAATCGTATCTATAAACAAAAGAATTATTTAAAAATTAAAAATTAAATTATTTGAACCAGTAGAGTTGTAACAATCGAAATTGAATTTTTAAAACTCTTGTTGATAAATTGTGAGTACGCATAAATTAAAATTTTGCACGAAAAGATTGTTTTAAGAAAGACAAACTGATTAAACTAGTAAATGTGTTAATATATAAAATTTAAAACTCTTATTGATAAATTGCGAGTACGTATAAATTGTAATTTTATATGTAAAAATTATTTTCAAGTAAGATAAACGGATTACATTAGTAAATGTGTTATTACATGAATTTAAAAAAATTTAAAACTCTTAGTGATAAATTGTAAAGACTTAAAGTAGAGTAAAGAGTACTTAATTTAAAAAAAAAAAAAAATAAAATAAAACTAAATTTGTATTTAGCTATTTATATGATAATAAAATGAATATTAATAAATTTAAAGAATGAAATAAAAAACTAAACGAGCGAATAAATTGAAAAAAAAAGTGTTTTATTAAAATAAAAGCAAAACAGGCATAATAGCGAGGGCTCATAGGTATAACTACCGCTTTGATAGAGTTCAACACAAACTAGCTTCTCCTGATCGGTGTAAAATCAAGGTGGGAATCCAGCACAACGACACAAGTGAGAGACACAGGTAAGAAAGATTCGGGGCTTCAATAGTAACTGAATCTCGGTTGTACGGGGTATAACTCACGTAGCTTTAATAGTCACGTGAGTCTATACCATAGTGTCGGAAACGATAGGTAGCTTTAATAGTCACCTAACGTCTCCGGCCCCTGGGCGCTTTAACAGTGAACAGGGAAGGGCGTGTGATCAGCGACCTGTAATACCACTCACGTAGCTTTAACAGTCACGCGTGCTGGTATTATATCGTGTCTATTTCAGTCAAGTGATTCCTTTGTGTCTGTGATTCCGATTGGTATTCGAACCTAGGGATCTGTAATTAAGAGCAATCAGAAGTGACGGGGTCTCACTAAATAAATTTCTTGTGTGGACCTTGGGGACGGCTGAGTTCAACCCCAGCTTTAAACGAACCAAAAAAAGGGTTCATTACAATATGTACTGTCATTCAGATGGCACATTATTATACCAGTTATCTTGTTCAAATGTGTCATAAACCATGGAATGACTTTTAAATTAATATATGGAGAATATAAGATATAGACTGAAGCTTTGCTGATAATGAAGAATCTAATATCGCTTTTTTAATTTATATTTTACTAATAAGTGGCAAGATATATCGGTTTCTGTATAAGATATATATCTTTCGAAAGATATCGATTTTGAAACATACTCTCTGATATTTTGTGCAATACGTTTCTACGTTTCTGTGGTCAATTAACTCCAACAAAATTTTGTTTTTAGTTATCTATTCATTCACAATAGACTCGACGGTCGCAGCGCCAGATCTCTCTAACAATAATAATATCTAGTCATCCCTTTAACTCTTTCTTTCTGATCTTTGCGCTTTAAAAGAAAAATAGATTTTTCGTATTATTTTCTGACAGCTCACCTGCATTGAAATTCTGTTGCATTTTTACGTGTCGTTATGATTTTTTACCCAAATAAGTACCAAATAAACAGTAGAAGTGTTAGACCCCTTAGTAAAGTATTTAAATTATTATACCCCTTTTAATGGTGTGTATTATTTTGTTTTTCTGGAGTCCAATTTGTTATGTATAAAGCCTTCAAGTCTTATCACCTTTCCATAAATTTATGTACATTGAAATTCAGTAGCGCAATAACTTACTAAAATTTTTAAATAAAAAAAAAAGAATCATCGATGCGAAACCCTTAAAACAGAATATTTTTGGATATTTTTAAATATTCCGTATTTCCCGCCACACAGAAAGATTTCGCCCCCCAAATAGTGTTGTTGCAATGTTGTTGAACTGACTGTCAGCAATGGGCTGAATAATTAATGAACGTCTGTCTGCAATTTTATGGTAATATTGCTGGGTGCATGAGTGTTTAGGGCATGCAATGCAATATTCCAGTGTAAAATATACTACCGTATATATTACGGCATAATTGCATTTTGAATTTAATAATCAGAATGAAAGCCAATATATTTTTCCCTTTTTAGAAAATATATATACGCATATTTTCCCCATAAACCTTGGGCCATAAGGTAATCGAAAAGAGATTTAAATTTAAAAAATTCTTCATTTCAAGAAACTTAAAAAAGCTTCACTCATAAAAACTGCTTTCCACTTCAAGCAAATCAATTTTTTATCTTTTAAATTTTTTCCAGTTTATTAGTAAAAAGTGAATAAAAAATTAAATAATGCAAGTACAAAATCAGAGTAAAATTCTGTCCAGTAAAATGGGCTTGGAGTGATGCGAAAAAGTTATAAAAGTTAAATTCTCATAGCAAAACTTAAAAGTATTTATGAACTTTGCAAACGAGTGAGAAGTACTCGAATAGCAAGTAGAACAGAAGTTTTTAAAAACTTCCTTTGAAAAGTGTATCATAACAAAATTATATGCAGAAAAATCAGTGAAATAACTTTAGAAGAGTATAAAAATGTATTCACTTTGATAGCTTCTGACATCGAAATGGGACAGAAAAAGCTAGTCCATCTCTTTGCAGAAGTTAATAGGTCTATTTTTTAAGATATTCTCAATAAAATAATAATATAAAATATTTTTCAATCCAAATAGATATTAAGAAAATAAAATATTTTATTTTTAATGTTAAATTTTGTTGTCGAAAGTGACGTCATTAATGATGAAAATAAATTATTTAAAAGTTAGAAGGGTTCGAATAGAAATAAAAAGACAACAACAAAAATTTTAGTCAATTTATTGAAATTTATCTGATCATAGAAGGCAGTTCGAGTATTGCAAAAGACTCATCATCAGTGGTCTTAGGAAATCTTCAAATTTTTTTTTATGGATATTGAGATAACTCTACCTGTTTTTTAAATAAAAAAATGTAAGTCAAAATAATGTTGAAATACTGTTGCATCGAAAGCAATAGTGCTGACACTATGAACCCACTAAAATCATCTTTCAGGAATGAGTTGAGAAGACCTCAGCCATCAGACTTGAAAGTCAGCTGGCTAAAAAGAAGCTTAGTATTTCTGTTTACAAATTTATCTAGGCTATGGGCTATAATAAACGTTAATTATGTGAAATGATGGACATTGACTAAAAACTGCGACTCCTAAGTAGGAATATATTCTGAGGAATGGGTTACGATATCGGCGATTGTACATGGAAATTGAGTGAGGAAATAATATTAAAATTATTACAGGCGATGTTCCTTATATGGCATAAGGTATAAATCTTCATTAGAAAAAAAATAATGTTCTAATATAGCAATCAGAAGCATTCAGCAGCATAGCTCTTCAAGATCTAAAAACGGGATCGTAGCGGTGGCTTGAAAAGTATACTCTTGGATATAGCAGAGGCTTTGACGCCTCTGCTATCAAGTTTAAGCATGACAATACCCCCATTCAGCATGTCATCAAGCTAAAATACCCTATGTTGACTATGCCGTCCGCAATGCGCGCTTTAGGCATACTCAACTAAAAATTGCCTGTCGTAGACACAACCAGTTCAACTGCAAACTTACTTATTCGCCCCTTAGTCACATATGTTCTCCCCATTTGGTCTGCAATCTATTACGCCCCGATGAAAAGGATCAGTCTTATCAGTAGCACCTTTCCTACTCTGTCCTTCTGCACTCAACCAAAATTACTTGCATTGACGAGTATCTCCTCTCTCATTCGCTCGAAGGCACCTTACGTGGCTAGACAATCTTCCACCTTCCATCTCAGCTCCTAGCACTCTTCCTGGGGACTTAGTCCAGGCCTTACGTCACAAACCCTTTCAATACCTATCCTTTTACCACAATGAGTGGGACTCTGATCTCTCCATCATCCCTCTAATCAACTGCGGCTCTCGTGATCCTGGTCACAGAGACTACCGCTAGAATCTCCGTGCTTGCGCAATAATTCCGTTCACTTCACTAACACTCAATTTCTAACACACAATGGCTTAGATGAACCTAGTCCGCTGGGTATTAAGGTAATAATTTTTTACTAATATTTCAAAATTATACCTTTCATTGAGTAAATTTCATAGGAATGCACTATGTTGATTTTAAATATAAAT